CCCTCGCGGTGTGGGCGTGAGTGGGTCGCCGCCCGTCCTGTCCTAGATTTTTTGTGATGTTTATAAGTAGTACCTGGGGTTTCACGGTTAGCCAATGTCTCCGAGTGCTCGCGTCTAACCGTCCGTGTGAGTCCGCTCCTTTCTTCCAGCCCTCCAAGAGTGCCGTGGGATTACTGGCTGAGCCAGCGCCCTGCCATTATATTTTCCCGTCCAGCCATGTCCAACTCCCTGGCAGCCTTATTTAAGGGCTCCAGCAGCACGTGTCCTAACCTATTCCAGCACTTGGGGAGGCCAGGAGGGGCAGATCACCCTGAGGTCAGGAAGATGGAACCATCCTGGGCTAACATGGTGAAGTAGCCCAGCGCTACTAAGAAGGGGCAAAAAATAGGTCGGTGACAATTGGGTCACATGCCGGTAATCAGCTACTTGGAGCCTGAGCAGGAGAATCGCTTGAACCCCGGAGGCCGAGTTCAGTGAGCTGAGATCATACCATTGCAACTCTGTGATAGCCTGGACAGAACAAGAAGGAAACTCTTCTAAAAAAAACAAAAAAGAGTTCCAATCCTCGCCGAACTCTGCCATTAACGCTGCTAATTCTTGTCTTTTTTTTTTTTTTTGAGACAGGGGTCTCTCTCTGTTGCCTAGGCTGGAGTGCAGTGGTGCAATGTTGACTCACTGCAACCTCTGCCTCCTGGGTTCAAGTAATTCTCATGCGTCAGCCTCCCCAACAGCTGGGATACAGGTGTCCGCCACGACACCCGGCTAATTTTTGTATTTTTAGTAGAGATGAGGTTTCACCATGTTGGTCAGGCTGGCCTTGAATTCCTGACCTGAAGTGATCCGCCTGCCTCAGCCTCCCAAAGTGCTGGGATTATAGGCATGAGTCACCGCGCCCAGCCCTGTCAGGTATTTTATGTTGGCAAAAAAGAAAAAAGAAAAAAAATCTGCCTTACTTGTTTGCAATCACATATCACCATCTGAAACACCAATGTATATATTTTTTTGTCTGTTTCCTCTTCATTTGAATGTCAGCTTCAGGGTTTTGTTTCATTGTTTATATTTAGTTCAATGCTGTGTTCCCAGCACCTAAAATAGTGTCTGGCACAGATTTCAACTTTATTCAATAGTAACAGTAATAACAACCACCACCTTTGGATGCCCCTCCCACAACAGGACTGACAGCATAATCTATTTCCCTATAAACAGCATGCATATGACATCATTCTGACAGGTCTAGGCATAATCCCCAACCAGGACTCTCTGCTTGGAGGTAATGACATGTGCTCAAATGTTCTACTTTGGCCCCAGCTCCTAACCCATTCCATCCCCCCGCAGGCAGGAATGACCCTGGGTTTGCAAATATGTTTGTCACGGAGGCCAGGTACCCAGGGCTGGGCTGTACAAACACCCTGGACAAGGTCCATGGGACTAGGGGTCCCCATCTTGTTGACACTGGTGGCCTTTGAAGGACTCTGGGGTCTTCACAGCTCTCACTGTGGCTTTGCTGCGCAGGCCTTAGAGGCAGGCTATGTGGGTTCTAATCCTAGCTTCACCACTAAAGTAACCGTGTCAGCCTGGCCAAGCCACAGCAGCTCTCTGTGCCTAACTTTCTCCCCCACTGGTCTGAGGGTAGGATCTACACCCACATCACAGAGGGGTTGCAGGAATTAAATGAAATAATCATACGAAGGCAAGCACATAACGAGCTCAGAAACAATGAGCTATGTTGTGGCTCCAAGTGAAGTCACCCTAGAAGGCTTTGCCCATGATGGCTGAACAAAGACTTCATGGTAAGAAGAATCTCAGAGCGCTGGCAGCAAAAGCTGAGCCTCTGACTGGTGCTCCGGTGGAGGAGGCTGGCGGGGGGCACCAGTTTATCTACATTTGGACAGCCTGCTTCTCATCAGACCACAAGGCCCACTTGGGCAGTGGGATTTTCCCCAGAGGTCCTGAGGTCGGCAGAAAGCTGGTTATCAGTCTCCCACCTTCCCCCTAGTTCTAGAAGGTGACAATTAATGGTGGCACGGAAGACAGCTGCAATGAAATGTTTAGACACCAGCCTCAGGCTCACTCTGCCAGCCCTGTGATGGAATAATGGACTGCAGGGAGTAGGGATAAGAGAGAGTGTTACCCTATTGCGAGGACGGGGAAGGTCCTTCACTTTGGTAATCCTCTGGAAGGGCTGCTTTGAAGCAGCCATTTTCAAAATAGAGGTCACGTGGTCACAATGAGCCTCAAGGTGGCCACCAAACCGCAGACCCTGGCCCTTCCCAGGAGTATCTGGCGGACTTACCGAAGAGCAGCGGCTTGAGGCTGAGGGTTCGGATGAAGTGATCCCTGTCGGTGACCAGCTGGACCTTACGTTCGTGCCCCACCTAAGGGAAAGGCGCACAGCGGGCAGCTGGGTCGCCAGACCGCGCTGCCCAAGAAGGGCCAAGTCACCCCGGCCCGGAGCGCGACAGCAGACGCGTGAGTGGGAGCGCGCGGGACCGACGCAGAGCAGCGCCGGGGGCAGTGTGGGGACCCGGGTTGAGTGCCGGTCCTCTCGGGCTCAGCCGTGCAGGGCCTGGAGCGCGGCGGGGCGGGGAGGTCCTCACCTTGATGCCCTCCAGCCGGGTGAGGGGACCTAAGGTGGGCTCGGGCCCGGGGCCCTGGGCGCGGTGCTGGGGCCCGGGATCGCTGCTTTCGTCGCCATTGCTGTAGTGCACGAAGAGCAGCAGCGCCAGCACGTTACCCAGGTACAGATGCACGAACACCATCAGCACCAGGAAGTAGGCGCGCGAGCAGATGCCACGGGGCTTGCACAGCGGCCGCACTGGTGCGTCCTCGCCGTCGCCCAGCCCAGCCGCCGCCTGCGCCTTGCAGTGGTCTGGCGGCGCCCACTGCGGCCTCGAGGCCTCCCCTGTCACCGCCGCCGCCGCCATGGCACCCAGGTCGCGCGCGCCTCAAGGGGAGGGGCCGCGGGGTGCCCGCGCTGCGCAGTCGCCCGGACAACGGCCGCCAGGCCCGCGAGCGCCGCGGTAACTAGGAGACGGTGCCTGGGGGTGCTGAGCCCGCCCGGAGCCGCTTGTGTCCGCGCGGGGCTCGGCCTCCCTGCACCTTGAGCTTCTCTTTCCAAGCTGGGTTGTTGTCGGGCAGAGCTGTACACTCCCCAAGTCAGAAGCCAAGGCCCCAAGTGTAGACGCAGACAAGAGCGGCACCATTAAGGCATACACTACTGGGAGCTTCTTGGTGCCTGAGTGAAGACGCCCTCTTGCCTCTGGGAACAGTATCGTCTGCATCTTCTGACTCCAGGAGCGGGGCTGGGGAGCGCAGGGCGGAGGAGGCAGCACTGGGATGACTCAACAGTGCGGCATGTGGGGGCGCCACGGAGGCCGGTACTGCGTAAGCGGCGATAGGGTAGGACCCACAGTCTCCTTGCAAGCGTTCTTGGAGCTCGGTTTGGCGGTCGGTCCGGATCTCCCGGGGAGTCCTCCCGGAGTGAGGCAGGCCTTAGGAAGAAGCTGCCTGATGTGCAGGGTTGCATAGGCAGTCAGAGAGTGCATCCTGGAGGAGCCCTGGCATCAGGAAGGTGAGCCCCCCATGGCAACCCGCAGGAATGAGCCAGTGCTCAGGTGTATGAAACACTCCTTGCATCAAAGCTGGCACGTGTGAAGAGGCGGGAAGGGACTCTTCCACAACCGAGACACCATTACCTCATAGAAAAATTAAACAGATTATCACCAAAAACGGGGTGGGGGGAAGACATACCTACCAGTGGTCAAGTGCCAAGGAATCCCTGCTCTTCGAGAGCTGGTTATCCTCAGGAAGAGATTACTACACGCCCTCAGGACAGAAGCTGACCCCACTCCCTGAGGTGGACTTGCAGGCAAGAGCAACACTTTTAAGGCAGGTCACACTGGTGGTTTCTCCCTACCCTGGTAAGACGCCCCTACCTCTTCTCCCATCTCCTCTCCCTTCCCCACAGCAAAGCATAGTCTGCATTTTCTAGTCCCCTCAAGTCAAGGCAGACCAGGGGCTCCAAGGGCAGGCCCACCTCTTTCTTCCAAGATTTTTTTTTTTTTTTTTTGTGACGGAGTCTCACTCTGTCGTCCAGGCTGGAGTGCAGTGGCGCAATCTTGGCTCACTGCAACCTCTGCCTCCCGGGTTCAAGCGATTCTCCTGCCTCAGCCTACCGAATAGCTGAGACTACAGGCATGCGCCACCATGGTGGGCCAATTTTTGTTTTTTGTATTTTTATTATTTTTTATTTTAATTTTTTTTGTTTTTGTTTTTTTGAAATGGAATCTTGCTGTGTCGCCCAGGCTGGAGTGCAGTGGCACAATCTCAGCTCACTGCAAGCTTCACCTCCCAGGTTTACGCCATTCTCCAGCCTCAGCCTCCCAAGTAGCTGGGACTACAGGCACCCGCCACCACACCTGGCTAATTTTTTTTGTATTTTTAGTAGAGACAGGGTTTCACCATGTCAGCCAGGATGGTCTCAATCTCCTGACCCGTGATCTGTCTGCCTTGGCCTCCCAAAGTGCTGGGATTACAGGCATGAGCCACCATGCCCGGCTTTTTTTGTATTTTTAGTAGAGACACGGTTTCACTATGTTGGCCAGGCTGGTCTCCAACTGCTGACCTCAAGTGACCCGCCCACCTCGGCCTCCCAAACTGCTGGGATTACAGGCGTGAGCCACACCACCCAGCCTTTTTCCCAAGACTTTACACAGAGTGGCTGTTTTCACGATTCAAGCACATGTGGGCATCCACTAATCCAGCCACCCTCAGGGACCACTTTGGTCAATCTCCTTAGGATAGGATAGATGAACACTGCTTCACAAAAGGAGAGTTTCTGTTTCCAGACAGAAAGGGAACAGGCAGCAATGGGAGGTCTTGTGGCTTAGCCAAGGCTGGGGTGCTAACTACACACACCAGCAGCCCAGTATTTCACTTCAGATGGAGTGGGAACTTACAGCTCTGAAGGCAACCAGGGAGGCCTGGACTTCTGCAGAGGCAGAGGCCAAGGCAGTGATGACCTGCCCCTCCCAACTAAAATGAATTCTAAAATAAATGTAATTGCTGCTAAAGAAATGTTTCTGATTCGAATAGATGAAAATTCTATGACCAATTTAAGACTGTTCAAATTCCCTGCAGCTTATCATTAATCCACCCTAGTTAGGCCAAAAGTCTCTCAATTTCTGAGTAGTAGTACGATAGAAACAAGTCAGATTTTCTAAAATCATATGAATCACTTAAATTCTTTTTTTTTCTTTTTTTGAGATGGAGTCTCACTCTGTTGCCCAGACTGGAGTACAGTGGCGCAATCTCAGTTCATTGCAACCTCCACCTCCCTGGTTCAAGCGATTCTCCTGCCTCAGCCTCCCAAGTAGCTGGGATTACAGGCGCTGTACCACAATGTCTGGCTTTTTTTCTTTTGAGATGGAGTCTTGCTCTGTTGCCCAGGCTGGAGTGCAGTGGCACAATCTCGGCTCACTACAACCTCTGCCTCCCGGGTTCAAGCAATTCTCCTGCCTCAGCCTCCCAAGTAGCTGGGACTACAGGTGCCCACCACAATGCCCGGCTAATTTTTGCATTTTTAGTAGAGACAGGGTTTCACTATGTTGGCCAGGCTGGTCTCAAACTCATGACCTCAGGTGTTCCACCCACCTCAGCCTCACAAAGTGCTGGGCTTACAGGCATAAGCCACCGCATCCAGCCCAAATCTCCTAAATTCTTAAATATAATAAATACCAACCAACAGAACCACAATTTTACCAAGGATCTCATGGTTTTCACATACCTTTTTTGGAATGAAATTGAGACTATTTCCCTCTAGCCTTTTCTCCCCCTCCGAGACAGAGTCTTGCTCTGTTGCCCAGGCAGGAGTGCAGTGGCTCGATCTCGGCTCACTGCCACCTCCGCGCCTCCTGGGTTCAAGCAATTCTCCTGCCTCAGCCTCCCAAGTAGCTGGGATTACAGGTGTGTGCCACCACGCCCGGCTAA